TAAGAATTTCCATTCTACACGCTCGGTGCAAGTTTCCAGGAGGGAAAGTTGAATCCTCGACCGCGGCAGCCGCGGCCGCGCTCGCTCCTCGCTCCACGGCCGTCTGCTCAATAATTTACTCGACTGTATTTTTCAATATGTTCCCGCCCTAGTCTGCTCACATTGGAAAAATATACGTGTCTAAAATATGAATGAGCCGAGTTTGATACATACTTTCAATATAAAGCTGGCCGTTGAACTTTTCGCGATTGGACTCTGTGCCGAGGACGGATGAGTGTGCCCGTGTCCGTGGGTACTGAAGAATCCACCAGCTTTTGGTTTTATGTGGCGGTTATACATCTCCATGTGCACGATTTTCATAAACTCGATTTGCGCTGCCAATTTCTGAATCTCTTCCTACAGCATACCATGAACATCGTAATCAACGAAAGATTACAGTAACTTCTAATATTTGTATGACAACTTTTTCTACATTGTTGCACTTCAAATCGGTATAGTGGAAACCGAAAAAGAAAACTGTTCAGCTATGATATAGATTGATACGTTGAATTAAGATTCTTGGCTTACTAATAATAAAAGAGTACACAAAGAAAAAACTCTGATTAAAACAGCTTCTTTTCTAAGAATATGATAAGAAAAAGTATTTGAGGTATTTCTTATTATATTTCATGCAAATAAGTTATATTCTGGTAAACTTTATAGTTTCTCACTTTAATATGCAGATACTACAATATTTACTTATTAACCTATATCGTTGCATATTATTACATTATTCGTTCTCTTGTCTTGCACTTATTACCTTATTTCTTACAGATGACAAAAATGTATTTTCTACTTTTTTATATCGGCAATCATCCACAGTGAAGGGTTTGTGCCATAAAGTGCAACATAAAATTCGTGAGATACAAAATTTAATGGAAAAAAGAATGGAGAATCTATTAGGTATAAATATTTAATAAAAATTCTGTCAAATATGCGTCATTGTTTAAAAGATGTTAAACAGCAAGGTTATCCGATGAGATATTAAAAAGCCCAGTTTAATTTAATGTCGTTAAAAAATATCCATCTAATAGTTCTATTTTTCTAAATTACCTGAGTGTGTTTCTAACGTGAAAATAGGATATCGATTCATTTATAATTGATTGTACAAGAAAAAACTACAATTACAAAAGAATTGCTTATATTTCTGTCATCTGTAATATAAAGAAACTTTGCGAATATTGTAATAATTTACGTAGATACAAGTAACCAACATAAAACGCATTGTGCAATTCGAATACTGAAGTGAGTAACTGTATCTATATGAAAAGAAGTTAGTTACCGGCGTTAGTTTTTACGTAGAACCAGAAAATAGTATATATATTGACAACACAAACATTGGCATGAGTTGGTATTCACACATATTAAACTGATATAGGGTATACGGCAACAGTTAGTAGAAAATTTAAAGGGTGATTGTACAAATCAAAATAAGGCGAAAATCAAGAATAACAAAATTGCGTTTGAGGCTTCGTTTTTTAGCTATTAATATCTGAGCCATTCAGAAGCCAAAGTGATTATCTCCATTTTTTGATATTCTTTCAATTTTTGATGCTTAATTCTTCATAAATAAGATAAATTTAATAAATTTAATTTGATGGAGTTAGTCACTTTGGCTTCCGAGTGGCTCTTTTAAAAATCGGTTAAAATACCCTTGGTACCGGTCAAACCTCTCTGCACCAAAAACAGGTAGATCAGTAGGAGGCCCATCTTTTGGCCTGCTTGACCCTCAAATTTAGGGAGAAATGAAACAATTAGCGTGCTCAATACCTCTATTTACAATGACCAAATTGTATGATCACATCCACTTTACATCGAGAATAATACAAAATGTTATCGCAGATTTCCAAACTGCAAGAAAAAGGTTTGAAAGAAAAATGGAACTTCGTTTGCAAGAAAAAGGTGGTCATATTGAGCATCTGTTGTGATGAAAATGCCTACTACCTGTGTGAATTTTTTCTGTATACAATCGCGGACGGAACAATCACGGTGCATGTGCGGACATTTTTACGGGCCTCCGTGGTATGTGTGGGCTTTCCACGGATATTCATGACGTGTGTGGATTTTTGTTTGGACATTCGCAGACGGTGTATGCATTTATGAACTACTTATGTGGGGTGGCTCGTAGACTGGGAGAGAGATTATGGAAATTCCATAGATCAAGCTTTGATCTGCTCGTATGGATTTCTGCGAGGAAGCAGGTTTTATGTTTAATCCACAGTTTTTCTTATAAGGTATCGCAGGATCGTTTACGGTGCTGAATGTCACAGGCTTCTTCCCTACGACTTGTAGAAGGTAAGCTGCTGGCCACGTGTAGTTGGTTTTGAGGATTACTGTAACCCCCCCGTGTCATAATCTATATTCGCTGGTGTAAGGAGGTTTGCCGAACTCCAGGCATATTTTAGTCGATACTTAAATGTTAATAACTAAAAACTGAAGCTTTAAACGTAATTTTTATATTCCTAATTTCCGTCTGATTTTGGCTTATTTTGTAGAATGACTCCTTAAGTTTTTTATTAACTGCTGTCGAACACCCTATATGTTACCGCACCTTAAGCTCCTCGTTTTCTTGATGCAAATCCGTCGTTTCTTCTGACACTAATCCGATCCCATTTAACGAGAAACTGGCTGTAACACCACGGGCTCTAGCACGACTATCCCATTGATCTCCTTGACCTCGTAAAACGCGAGTCACCTGGAAGCACATAAGATTAGACATTCGTTATTCAATAAAATTATATTCAATGGTGCGTCAAGTTGTTTAGACGATCAATAGTTTACTATGCAGGGTGTTTCGCGTAAAACAGGCCAACGAAATGTCTTCTCTGTCTGTGGTAATACGAAATATATTTCGTGTGTAATTTAAATCGTTTCAAAGGGTGAATTAGATGGAAGAAAATTTTTTTTATAAATGTCATTTTCTTAAGATTGTTTTCAAGATGTCTTTTTACATATACAGGGTGTCTGTTTTATCTCAATAAAGCGAAATATCTTTTAAGGAAGTGATGACATTTAAAAAACTAACATGTAAAAATGTTACTATAATGGAGGACATGTGGAGGGGATACCCATAGAAGGAAGCTTTCAATAATTCAAAATTGAACATATTGGTAGGTACTTATTGTACTCGTTGAACTCGTTTTAATATACACTATCATATTATGTATAAAAAAAGTATAGTATTTCATTTAAAAAAATTAAACTGACTTTGAAATCTCCCCTATCATACCAGGTACAAAAAAAATATTTACACCACATAACACCTCCCTCCATGCCAAACAACTTTTGTTAAAACATTTTTTTCCTAACATCACTTCCTTAAAAGATATTTCGCTGTATTGAAATAAAACAGACACCCTGTATACACATAATTTTTTCTGATGTATGTTATAGATATTTATGAAAATTTTCTAATTGCAACGCCCACCTAGCTACTCGAGCACAAATTACTCCTCTTTCATTGTCTACTTAAACGCCTGACAGTCTACAATTATTTTGCACGGAATACCTATCAAATAAATTCTGAATTTTCTTAATACTTTCACTATTGCCAAAACCTCGAGCTCATAGATATACATTTCCTTTGCTTTCATTTTTTGCCATGTTTATCATCAAATAAATTTTTCTTCCATCTAATTCACCCTTTATGTTAATGCCCGTGGTTGTGGCGATGAAATTTCGAGCTTTGTTTGCACGATGTTGTGCCGTCTAGATACTGGTTCGAAAGACCAGACAAATGATTGGGACTTGTAAAAACTGATCTATGGTATCGCGTGATGTGAGCTGGTTGCTCCTTGGTTCTCCTTGTTCGTGGTGGTTGAACGACTACTCGACGACTCACTCTCCGACGTCGCGTCTCGGACGTCCGTGACAGGGATTTTCGTTGGGACACGCTGACTGGTTAATGGTTAACGATTGCATTTGCCAATCAGCGTGTCTAATATCGTCTTTACCGCCCTTCCAGTGCGCCCTTAGCGCGCTGTCACCTTGGAAGGGTGCACACAGTGGGCCATGCGAACTATAAACAGAAGACGACTAACGAAAAGTATACTGTCAGTCGCCGGTGACTGACATGGCGCTTAACGTGTTAACGATTGCATTTGCCAATCAGCGTGTCTAATATCGTCTTTACCGCCCTTCCAGTGCGCCCTTAGCGCGCTGTCACCTTGGAAGGGTGGGAGACGGTCGCGAGGGGTGGGCGGAAGGTCCAAAAAATCTGGAATTTCCTCCGGGTGACTAATCGGCAAGCGGACCGTTAGCGAAATTCGTGGTTTATGGTATGTTCGCAGGCTATTGAGCGCGAGGGACACAAATTACTAAAAATCTAGCAAAGCAATTCTAGCGACCCTCGCAGGATGTAATTAGACCCATGCAAGCAATAAACGAAAATCCTGAACTCAAAAATAACCGTTCCCGGTCGATCGTGCCATAAACCGTTTCTACAGAAAACCTAACACTTTGAAATGATTTAAATTACGTACAAAATATTTTTCGTATTATCACAGATAGTGATAATAACTGTTTTACGCGAAACACAACGTGGGTCATAAATTGTTGTACAAGTGGGACGAGGGAGATTTATCAAAATAAGTTTCCTAATTCAAAAAAATTACTTTGAAGATCAATCAAGTACGCGTGCACCTAACTGATGTCAGGTGTGACAGATTTCATCGTTTTATTTTGGTTTGTAAAATTACACTTTAAATTTTGGGATAAAGTGGCCGATTGACATGAAATTTGGTGGGAAGGGGCAGGACGGTGGGTGGACCCCAAATATAAAATGCTAGCTACAGCCAATCGTTGGTTTCCGAGATTGTAACAAAAAATTTTCCGTACTATACATTGAAAGTGTGTATACAGACGTGACTAACACATTGAATGCTGCCTATTCCATATATCTATTACCACTTTCTTTCGCTTGGTACGGCACTAACCTACCGTTGTGCGGCTGCCCACCCTAGCACGACGCATGAAAATTGCCTGTTTCAGGCGCAGATTTGAATTATTAATAACTGGAAAAGGAACCCTCAAACGCAATTTTTTTATTCTTTATTTTCGTCTGATTTTAGATTCTAGAATCATCCCTTAAAATTTCTCCCACGAGTAGGCGAGTAGAAACGAGTAGAAACAGAATGGCTGAAAGAATGATTGAATTACCTTGGGCGCAAATACAAGAAATACAGTTACAGAAGTGGACAGCTGCGTGCGTAAAAATCCCAACAAATACTTGATATCCGGTCCAGCATGAGGGAAAATGAAAAGACTGCAAAAAATTACAACACTTAGGTTTCAAGTTAGAACAGTGTTAGAAATGAATAATAGGTACGAAAGACCATACTGAATGGCGATCATGGTTATATTCACAGCTGCTATATTATAAATAGCGTAGCTTATTAAACGGGCCTCATTAAAAAGACTTTCTGCGTTACGAACGTTGTAACACACTTTAATGCCCCATGCAAGGAATAGAATTTCCCCTGAAAGGAAAAGTTCATTTATAATACGTCTATTGTAGTTTACTTATGTTTATGCACAGTACTAAACTTCATAACGTATCGTTCGACGTATCAAAATCCAAATTCATAACAATAAATTGTAGTTGATGTAAATATATTAAATTTGTATTAATTAAATATACAGTATGTTTAAAATTACCACGTTACGTGTCATTAGTTCTTTTAACACCAAGAAAGATCATCACATAACAACGAATCGGCATCGTTTGCAATATCTTTAATATCATCTCAAGATTTGGATATTGTTATTACCGATTGCTAAACTGTGATCCCACCAGTTGAACGAACATTGGTAGAATTTCAAACCATAATTATCGGCTATCACTTCGGCATACGGTGGTGCGCTGAGAGTCCACGTGCCAAGATAAATTAACATTACTAACAATATTGGGACCATCCACTGCAGCAGTTGCTTATCCGTAAGTTTCACCTTGTGCGCGCTTTTCACACGGTATGTGAGAGAAACTCTGTAAAAAAGATACAAATTCAAATTTTAGTTTCGAGCCACGTATCATTTTCTGCTTAGTGGCTAATACTAAGTGCATTTGCTTCGGTCATTGGATACATTTGTGTAAGTTCATACACGAAAGAAACAAGCATCCATAAAGATGCACAGAAATAATCAGTAAACAGTTTTCTTCGAGTTTTCGTAGACCACTGACGTGTCTTATTGTGTCGTGGATCACTTATTATTTCCGGTATTTAGAATACACGGCACCAACTGTTCACGTACCAAACTATACCAAACAAAATGTTTTTACCTTGTTACACAAAAGTAGCAAAGTGTAAACGTTTTCTAAAAAGGGTCCGTTAGAAAAGCCATTACAATTTACTCGAAAAATTGGCATTTGTATTAAAGATTATATGACCTCATTTGGTCAATTCAATAACCCAACGAGCAATAAATTCATCTCTCGTATATCGAACAGGACTAGTTTTTTTAAGTAGCAAAGAAGTAGCCAATCAACTAACAAACAAACATAAATAAATAACAAGTAATGCCTTTACTTTAACGCTAGAACTACCAGCCGAGTCAAAATGACCCAGTGACTTTCCAAAAGTGAATTTTTATGTAAGTAAACCGTGATTGGAAAATTCGATTCATATCGATACAAATGGAAGCATGCATGTAGAAAATAAATTCGGAAAGTTACAAACGATGAGACTTGCCAGTATTGAACATTCACGTTTTTTCGAAAGATGCTAATGGAACATTTCGACCCAGTCGGTAGTTCTAGTGTTAAACAGACTACTAACCACACAAAATAAAAGAATTTGCATCATCAAATGTTTAACCCATTGTACCGTATTTACTGTTTTTAAAGAAATTCGAAGTGTTTTTTTTATTATCTACATGAACTTTACAATCGATCCAAAGGGACATTTGGTAAATTCTTGTACCATTTAGGAATACATAACACATACGTATATGACATCCTCATCCGGGTGCCATCTTTAAATAGTTATTTCCTGTTTGTTTGTGCTTTAGTTTACGAGATATTCGCAAAAAACTTTAGTTAAACTTGGGTTACGAGTGTACTTCAGTCTGGCCGTTAGGCGACCGCATTCCTATATAGCCCAACCTAAACCTAACTCAATAATAATAGTCATTTTTAATAGCAATAAAAGAGAAAAATTCGACAATCGGCAACGCTAGCATAAAATAAGAACCAACGATTGATTTGATCTAGGACATAGCTCGTGCT